ATTCTAGTGAGTTAAAAAATAGGCAAAAGAGAAGACAAGGGTCTAATAAAGGGTCTCTGTTGTAATTTACTAAGTTCACAGAAAAACAGGAAAATCTGCCAAGCAAGTTTAACATAGAAGATACATCAGAGGAAATGTTAGACTTACTTCAGAAGCACCCAACAGAACCCAAAGATGGAAGCCAATGAGATTTCAATTGTAAACCTAATTTAAATTACTTTCTTTCATTTTGACAGTTATGGCTGAATTTCCTTATAAAGGTTAAGTACTCCAACAATTATACTGAAAGAATGGCTTTGTTCTATCATATTCATAGAAGTGTTCAATTTTAATCCTGTAAATTTTCATTTAATAAATAAGTGTCTAATTTCAGAGTAACTGTTTCTAAATTCACACATCTCACATTGGCCACCATTCTCTTTACATCTGCATTCTAGACCTCAATACCCAGAGATCCATGAATGAAGAACCCTATTACTAAAAGCATTTATTAAAATCACCCTCTGAGAAAAATGGGAAAATTCTGGAGGGGGGGAAAAAAAGGCTTTCTAAGCACCCTGGGTATACCAATTTACATTCAAAGAAGACACTAATTATAAGAAATGTTATTTAAAAATCACCATTGTTCAATTTGAAAATACTAAAGATGGTTTCATCATATAACTTCTAAGTCATTTTTAATTAACCTGGATCAATGATCTCTTCTTACAACTTTCACAGTTGTGGCCCTCAAACTATTTAATTTCAGGTCCCTTCATCGTCTTAAAAAAGTGAAGGCCTCAAAAAGTTTTTGTTTAGAGACTGGGAATTTAGCTCAGAGATGCAGTGCCATCTGACAAGTACAAGGTCCTGATTCTTGATACCAAAAAAGAAATTTTGTTTTGTTTATTGTAGATCACACAAATCTTTGCTTCCTATACTGGACATTAAAACAGAAATTTTCAAAGTATTTATTAAATTACTTGAAAAACTAGCCTCAAAAAATAAGCTCATTACACGTTAATATACAGCTTTTGAAGAAAGTAAGCATGACTGTATTTAAAAAGTAATTGGGGCTGGGGATTTAGCTCAGTGACATAAGCACCTGCCATGCAAGCAGGCAGTCGTGAGTTCGATCCCTGGTACCGACAAAAAAGAAAAGACAAAAAAAAAAAAAAAAAAAGTAATAAAGATGGCATAGCAGCACAATTTGTAATAGCCAGATCTTGGAAACAACCTAAGTGTCCATCAGCTGAGGAATGGGTAAAAAAGTTGTGATATTTTTATACAATGGAGCACTACTCAGCTATAAAGAATGATCACATTGAGATATTTATAAATAAGCGGACGCAGCTTGAGATCATATTCACTCATAAGTGAAATAAATCAAACTCACATGTATAAATACCGAATAGTTTCGCTAGTGTAAGAAATGATAAGAATACATAAAAGTATGTGGTAATCATGATTCCCAGTTATATTGGTTTGAAGCCATATAATGTTTTCACTCATTAACTGGAATGGTTTTAATCTGGGTTGTTCGATTTTATTGTCTGTGATAGTATGAATAGCTATTTTGAAGAAAATAAGATATCATAATAGCTAGTACTGATTTAATATCATCTTGTTTTGAAGTCCCATCAAGCTGTTGTTCATCTGTTTCCATTGGTTTTAACATGTTGCATCTTATTATACTTTAATATATGTGATAATTTAAACAAAATTTTTTATAGGCAAAGAAAGATATAATATAGAAACCTTTGTTCTTTTTCTGTTAGCTGGTTCTAAATACCCTGTAATACTTTCATTCTCTTGAATGGTTTCACACTGTCTTGATATGTTTGATGCTATAGTATATGAAATTATACTCAAATATTTCAAGGAAAGAGACACTATGGTAACTACTATTATGTCAGGTTATCTGGTGGTGAAACACTATGATGTAAAATTATTCTGTTCTGACCTGTGTTGTTCTGTTTTTCTGTCCTCTTTTATCTCAATCTCCCCCTTTTTTTCCTTTTTTTAAAAAAAAATTTAATTCATTTTTTCTTATTTTTTTAATTAAGAGAAAAATAAATTAAAAAATAGCGGGATATACTTTAGTAACTTTTTTATTTTCCTATTAACCTGATTTGAAGCCCTGTATTGCTCTCCTCATCTTGTTTTGACTGATTTTACTCTATTCTGTTTTGTTTGATAGTATCAAGTTTGAGGATATAGGCAACCACTTTGAAGGCAATAAGATTTACTATGATGCCCATTATGGTTTGACTATTATCTTCTTTAGAAGTCCTGTAAGGTCTCCAATGTTTAGGTTTTATTGGTTTTGTTCAATTCTATTATACCTGATGATATAGGCAACTCTTTTTAAGATAGCCAGAGGCATTATGGTAATCATTGTTGATCACCTTGTAGTCTGTTTTTACATCATGTACTATGTCCATCCTTTTGATTTGACTGACTGTTTTATTTTGTCACATTTGGTTTTATTCTCTTCCAAAAAAAAGTAATAAGAACTGTGGGAGTAATAAAACCCCAAATGTGTAATTGTTATTATAAAAAGAGAGGAAAAGAAAGTGATCTAAAGGATATAACTGCATGTATATTTAAGTGTGTAAGATAGAAAACCATATTACTAAGTTTTTGTAATCACTGATCAGAACTGTTTGCAATCTCACTGTTTGACTGTCCACGTTGTATGGTTTAATTTTGTAATTTGAACAACTATTTTTAAGATGACAATATGTAATCTATTAACTAGTGATTTCTTACTGTGTATTTTTTTTCTTGGAATTCTGTATTACTTGTACCCTTTTACTGTTTTGTTTCTCTTTAAATAAAAAAAGTAATAAAGATGGCTATACTATTTCACATTTTGCAATAGGCTTTCCAGAATATTCTGGCCCTTTTTCCATAATGGTACATCAAAACGCACATCTGAAACTGTATTAATGAACTTTGTGTACTTTGCTACCCTAAATTCCACTGGTCTCTAGCAAAATATTGAAATATGGTTTTTTTTGAGAACTACTGTGGATCTCATCAGAAAAGTCTTTTTATTAAGAAGCTGTCAAATTCACTGAGACAGAATTTCCTCAGATTCTAATTTTTCCTTGCGAGGTCAGATTTTATCTTTGGCAACAAATAGTGTTTTTCTCTATGACATGACTGGCTTACTGAATTCATTTTGAACCTGTGTTAAAATAATATTTAAGATGTCATACATTCAAAATGTATGTGCAGTTAGGGGTAAAGTCACTGCCTTGATTCCTACTGAGGCCTGAGCAGTTGTGCCCTGCTGCTTTTTACCATCAGCGTGGATATCAGTGTAAATCATGCCATGGTATTATAACAAAAATAGGCTTGACCTTGGTAATCCTGTAGGTCAGTGGTTACATGTAAAACTGCTATGTTAACAAATAACAACTGATTCCCCAGTTACTAGCAGGCAGTCACTCATCTAGAAAACAAAAGTGATTATTACTGCTTTTTCAGGCTTTCCACATGCTACCAAATGCATAAACATTATTGTAAGGAAAAGGCTAACTCCAACCAACCGTCAACATGGACACATAAAGTGAAATCTAGTTACCATGGAAGGGCAAACTAAACAAACTTAATATGCAAATTTCCCCCCATGAACTTAAAAAAAAAATGAACTTTTTTTCTCTAATTCCCTCATTATATCATATGTGCTGGGCTTCCATTTGCTTGGTATTATACGGACAGGCTAAAGTTGACAAGCCCTGGGGCCAGAGTGCACAGGATGCCTACCAGCCAGGACACAGCGAGGAGCATTAAAGTCCGATAGATCTGATTTCAAGTCTCAGGTCCTCCACCCACAAGCAGCCTATCCTTTGTCATCTCCGAACCTGTTTTCTTAGTTGGATATAAGGCAACTTCCACTGAACCCCAAGGACTAAATGAAATGCGCGTAGCATTTAGCACAGCTCCTGGCTCACAGCAAGCATTCAATAACATGGAAGCCATTGTGTGAATGAGGTTCCCTGTGGGCAGTCAGAGGCCAGTCAGGAGTACCATACAACCTCCAAATAATTATGACCCAGCATGGGGACTGGTTAAGTACAAAATGCAATGGGACTAAAAGAAAAACTAATGGCATGCTTAAATGAGAGGGTGCTGTGGCAGCAGGAACTGGCTGGGGGCCAAAGAAGAAAAGGAAAAGACAAATGTGTAGGAACATGTGCAAGGTGGAGAACAGGATAAATAAGTGGGGCGAAAGGTTCAGACAGGACTTACGAAGACAACACCCTGGAACTAGGTCATTTAGGCATCTCTAAGTCCCTGTAGCTAGGCCTGCTCAGACCCTTTAATCCCCATGTAAACTTGACTAGTAGATGAGGGACAGCAAAGCTTTCCCCAAGGTGTCAGCATATTGGCAAAGACCTAAAACAGGGGGAATCTGCCTAGGCTCTCTTCAAGCACAAAGGAAGTATTTGCTGGGCAAAGACATACTGAATTCTGACACTTAGAAAATCCTGAGGCACAAAGCTTTATCAGTACACTAACTTCGGGTCTTTTTTTTTTTTTTCGTCTTTTTTGTTTTTATCGGTACCAGGGATTGAACTCACGACTGCACACTTGCAAGGCAGGCACTTATGCCGCTGAGCTAAACACCCATCCCCTAACTTCGGGTCTTTTACTTCAGCAACATTTAGACTGCTTTGCTTAATGGAGTGAAAAGAGAAAAAAAAAAAAAAAAATCACAGGGGCCCATGTTTTCCAGTAGAACTCCAGCCAGACGAGAGCAGCTATGTAAGTACACCCTGAACCCTGAAGAGGCTGCCGGCAGCTCTCATCCTTGGCGGGGCAGAAACTGCAAATGCCACAGATACACTCTGCAGACGCATGAGGTCAGGATGAGGGCAGCCCATAATCCCTGGCAAGTACACAGAAGCACACCAAGCCGCTGCCAGCATGGACCCACGACCAGTGGCACCACGCCTGAGAGGTGAGAATTTAGGCACCAACCACAGGAATTACGGAAACATTGTACTCACCCAGAATTTTACGAGGAAGAAGGCATTCTGAGGGCCCTTTCCAAATAGTTCCTTTAAGCCACCTTTCTTTTCAGGAAATTTGTCATAAATCTGACGTATATCCACTGATTCGAGCAATGGGTCACTGTAAGAATGGTTGGCATGCCCAATGTGCACGAAGAGGTGTTTGTTGTACTGTAAGAAACCAACAGAAACATTCCCATTACAAACCCTTTGAGCAACCTGGGGTGCAGCGTCTTGAACTGGGTAAGAGCAGCAGTCTTGACATCCTGGAGTGAGGCCTTGAACAGCCTAGTGTTTGTGCCTTTGAAAAGGTGAATACGTTAAGAAAAGCCATTAGCTCTCAGGGTTAAAACAATCATTATATTTTATTGACAAGGTCACATATTTCTCCAAATGCCTTCAAAGGGCTTTCTTTTGCAGACAAAGTAATAAACATAAGTGCAAGCTACCAAACCAAGAAATAATTTTATGACCCAGTTTCACCTGAATCAAAATGACAATGACATTCTTCATGGCCACAGAGTAAGCCCAATGAGAAATGTGTGTAGTTAGCTAACATCACCTAGAGTACATTTTGCAGCCCTCTTCCCCCAGCAGCTATGAGGATGGACACAGCTCCTTCTTCTAACAATCATTAAGAGCACTCAGTCTCTGTAACCAGTTCCCTTAGGACCCATCTAAAACTTTTGTCTAAGGGCTGCTCAATGTATTATTGTCAAAAAGCATAGTGGATCCACAAGTGGATCCACATGGTCAGTAAAAGAGGACACAAGTCATTACTTAACAAAAACTACAAAAGAAAAAAAATCCCTCAAACCCTGTGATATCATTTAACTTACAAAGGACACGTTCTTCCCTTGCCTTGGTGTAAGATGTGACAACTTGACCACAAAGGAACATCTTCAGGTCCAGATTCTCAACCCAGATGCATCCCAATTCCCAGGCACTTAAAATCACCAAGGCCTGAGCCCCATCCAGACAAAACTAGAATCCCTGGGATGAGGTGAGGCATAAATAATTTTTAAAGCTCCCTGGGAAAACTCCAATGTACAGCCATGTTTGAGAACCACCAGTTTCGATACCACTGGCACAAACATTCTCCTCCAAACTCTCCATGCCTGCATTAACATCAACGGAACATGGCATGATGAAGCCCAAGGGTACATAGGTTCCAAACCCCAACAAGATTCACAAGAGAAGCTCCTCTTCCCTCCTCCATCTAGCAGTCCCCAGCAACTACTGTTCTTCTGAGTAGCAATCCTAAAGCAGCCACAAATAATGGAAGGCTGAGTCAAAGCTTCCTCTGGGACAAAAACTAAACACTGGTAAATCAGACTGTGGGGTCTGGACTCAGCCTCAGCCTTGTGCAGCACAAGACTTTGTGCCCACTGCAAACAGAAATGACAGTGGGTAAGGGTCCCTCAAGAGTCTAAAATGGGGGTGGTGATGATATCTGGCTCCTAGGATCATTAGGGGTTTAAATGAGACACGACACGCAAGGAATACACCAAGGCTCCTAGATCTAATAAAGAGGTAAGTACATGACAAATGCTAGCTGTTAACTATACTCCCTTAATTTTCAAGATTCACAGTGAATATTAGCACATTAAGAGCACTGACAGGCTGGGGGTATAGTCTTCTGTAGAGCACATGCCTCACACAAATAAGGTCCTGAGTTCAATCCCTCTCATGCAAAAGTGAAAAAAAGAACACTGATAAAAAAAGCATTTTTAAACTCTGTATAACCCAAAGTTCATCAAACTCAACCTCATAAGTAAAGTATATCCTGAGAAGATCTGGGATAAATCCATCACCTTCTGTGCCTGTGGATCTATGGCCACGATGCAGAAAAGCAGGAGACCGGACACCCATTTGATGCCAGCATTCCACACATGGGTAGTATCACCTGGTCAGTATCTTCTGGGGCAGGATCCGGCCCTCTCCTACGCAACATTAGCACCATCTGTATCAAGGTTTCCAAGACTAGAAAGGTTCCAAGTGAAATAAAAAGGGGGGACCTAGCCAGCCTTTACTCAGACCCAGGGGCAGGAATTAGATACTGTGCCTTCAGGAAATACTGACAACTTGTGAGCCACAGTGAAAGAATATTGTGTGCCTGCTTTGAAAGACACTAAGAGGCACAAAGTCAAAGTCACTCTGCTAGCGAGGGAGGTGAGGTTATGAGAGTGTCATTTTGGTCTCGTTACAGAATTTCTCACATGTAGTCACATCATCTTTTGAATTACAAACAAAAGCCCACAGAGAGATATGAGGTACAGTTGTGACTAGGGAGCTATTTAGTCTCATTAGTGGGGCCAAAGGAAAAACTAAAACAGGCAAAGTCAGGGGCTTAGATCCCCGGTAAAAGCAATGAGACATGAAAAGATGAGTGTGGAGTACAAGCCTGAACAGCTGAAGGGAAAAGGCCTTTCTTTAACCAGATGCCTGGCTGTCAGGATGTCTATCCGTTCAACTTTTACTAATAACACCTGCTTAGCGCTAGCTGCCAGCCCTACCCATGTCTGCGAGCACCACTTCCATAAATCCTGTTCGAGGCAGTGAGTCTGCAGAAAGAACGGTACACGGCAGGGCCCTCAACACCAGTGAATTAAATCCAGGTCTCCTGGGTGAGCTCAGGCAAGGCCACAGCAGAGTGTAGTGAGGACACTGAAACCTGATCTTGCTCTTGACACTGAAATGCCCCTGTCCCCTACTGTTGGAATGGGGGACTATAGTTTCTGCTCTTTCCTTGTCCCTAGGTCAGGAAGGTCAGGAAGGTCCTGAGGGTAAATTTCATCTAGGTTCCATGGGGGCCCATGACCGTGTAGCTGAAAAGGTGCTGAAACAAAGCATGAAAACTAGGGCCAGACCTGCACCTGAAATCTCAGTTCTTTCACAGGCACACTGAGAGAGCAGTGCCTGTAAAGAGAAGATTGTTGTGAAGATTAGAGAAAATAAAACAGACGGTGCCCAGCATTTCCCTGGTGGAGAGGGAGCATTCAATAAGCTGTAGCTGCTGAGATTACTACCATCAGGGTTATTACTGTGTGAGATTAACCAGATCCTAGGGTTAAAAGCAAAAGAATTTTCCTGCTTTAGCTATCCCTCCTGCTTAGAGACAACAAAACAAAACAACCCACCATGAATAAGCCAAGGGCTGGAAGCAAGAGGTGAAGCCATGTGACTGTTCAAATCCTTGACTGCAACTCCCTGGGAGGCAACTGCTGGGGCGGGGGCCTCACCTGGGCTGAAGGAAAGGCAAGCACTTGAGTCTTCAGGTAGGTGCCGTGTGTGTGTGTGTGTGTGTGTGTGTGTGTGTGTGTGTGTGTGTGTAAGAGCAAGACAGACAGAAAGTGATATCTCAGGTAATCCTTGAAGGTAATCCTCATGACAATGCCATAGAAGGTTTTTCAAAAATTATTTTACAGATGAGGAGACAGCTTAGAAACAAGCCGAGCTCACCGAGGTCACATTTCCAGCCATCTCTGTGGAATAAGAAGAGCTGTGCATCCGTGTACTCATGCCCCATAGTGAATGTAATTACTGTGTGCTGCAAACATGAACTCATAAAAATTTAATTACAAAAAGAATAAAATGTGGGTTTGCCAAGGCCGCAGCCCTTCACTTGTGCAGACACCAATCATACCATCTTCCTGAAGAAGCTGTCAGAGTCCTTCCAACTCTTGTCAACTTTTCATGACAGTTGATTTGAGTAAGAAAATTAAAAAAGTTAAATAGTTTGTAAAATTCTATGAAACCAAACTAGAATTTGGGACAGACAAAATGATTCACAAATGCATCCAACAAGCCCCCAGAGGTTTCTAATTTGAGGACATTACTTCTGTGCCCAGGTGACAAGGACAGAGAAGGGGCAGGCTATCTCTGCCAAAGGAAATCAGGCCCTGACTCTCCGACCTGGTAACTTGAAATCAGACCCTGAGCACTGGCCACTGAATGGTTTTCTTCCTGCCAAGAAGTGACTCTGTTTCTAAGAATACAAAAGACTACAGAAGGTGTCCTGGAGACCACAGTACTACAACAAACAGACCTTGGTTGTCCCCTTAATTCAACCTGCACAGGTCAGAAACACTGCTGTCCCCACATCTGAAAGGCTGAGAAGAACGAATCTACCTGGTACATTTGGGGTTCAAGTTTTAATGAAATTAAAACCTAAAACCCATTTGGTGAAGCTGTAACTGCTTCTCATCCTGCCTGTTCTCCTTTAAGGGAAGAAGTATGGAGTGGGTTTTTTTTTTTTTTTTTGCCTGCTTTCCTTCTTCCCATATAAGTCCCATTTTTTTCTCCACAATGGTACTTTCCCTAAATTACAGGTGGCATACAAGACCAAAAAAGGCAACTTTATTTTACAGGGCAGAAAAACATGCTCTCAGTGGAAAATAATTATTTGGGAGAAACAGAGCAAATGTCAGTAAGTCACATTAAGTCAAAGCCCAACACTAGGTTTCCTTAATACTCAAAGCACAGGTAAACTTTGACTTATGTAATGAACAAGTCTCATCAGCACAGCCAACCCTCAACATATCAAGGACATCAACTGAAATAGTACTCATGCTGCATATTTCTTTGAAGGACTTTAGAACCACCAGGATACCTACTATTCCTTTTATGGTAGGCACAGGAAATGCATGAGCTCTCACTATAAGGTGCTTATCTTCATAGGCTCTAAAAAGTAACTGAATAGAAATGGCTTTTTACTCCTATAGCCAGAATCATGTTGCCCATATAAACATGTGCTCCTATATTCCTATAGAGAAGATAGGGATGTTAAAGGTAGCCAACTACCTCTCCTGCACACCGTACGGTTTATATCAGTATTCACCTGCTACTTTTGTAAGAATGACCTTATTCTTACAAAAAGTGTTATTCATTAACACAGATAACCTATGCAGAATCCACCTAGAAAGTGTGGAAAAGTTTTCACAAATTTAAGGTAAAAACTACGACGATCACTAAGTTAGTTTTCCATGTGTGTGAGCAGAACTTACTGTAAGCTAAAGGTCAGAAAATCGACCTTTCTTCTAACTGTTCTCAGGTAGCTTCAGGATATGTTCCTTAAAAAAAAAAGAGTAAATAAAACAAGAAGTTGGCTGCCACACAGTGAAAATGTAAAGTTGGCCAGGGCAGCAACTAGCCAACTCCAGAGGGGCCGA